TCACTAAGACGAAGATTGACGAGTTGAGCTTTTTTTTACATAATTTAACATTCAATTTTAATTCCCTCTTGAGAATTGTCTATGTTTCGTTTTCTGTGCAATTCCCAACGGTGGAAGAATGTGATTTCGACCGGCAATTTTTATTTCACGAGGGTGTGGCCATTTCTCACCGTTACGATTTAAAAGGAGTATCATTGAAAAGTTAAATAACTGTTCTTTCGTCCAATGCAAAAATTGAATTGTTTAGCAAAGCTTATGATGCACGACAGCCTGTTGAATTTACATAGCTTTTTTTTAAACACCCTGCATACTTAATTTTGGGAAGCATGCCGAGTATTTTTGACCAGGATTTTAGATGTCAAGTCAACTAGAAAAGTGACACAAAAAATCGTGAAAATGTACAGGTCCCATTAAAAAGATTACAAGGCGCAGTCACAGAGTAGATACATACAGAGCTGGAACTGGCCGTTGTAAACACTGCGGAATTCGAAACTTACGTTTTCGTGTACCCACTTTTTTCAGGCAACCGGGCAAAAAATGATCAATGCGCGTGCTCGGCAAGTTCCGCGAGCAGTTAAAGGGGTAATGTCATCGAATTTTCAGCAAGCTAACCCTCACAAATTTTGCCCAAAACTGAAAAAGAATGTGTGTAAGCACAAAATAAAGCAATAACAGACACAAAAAATTTGTACAGAAGTCTGGATGGGCAAGATTGCGCCAGGATTGAGATGGATTGTAAATGGCATCTTGATTAATTGTTAGCAGACACCTTTTCAAGGTTTAGTCAATTTTTATGAAAATGTCATGTTACATGTTGCGTGGAATTTGAAAGTTGTTTAATATGACACATATATCATAACTTCATTCATTTACAATGTTTATTTTTAACTTTGTAGTTCATGCAGTTTTGAATAAAAGGCATTTTAGGTCAAAAATCGGTGACATTGCCCCTTTAAAGCGAGTCGCCATCCAATGAGATGCATGCATCTAGTAACTTGCCGAGCATGCGTACAAAAAAGTGGGTACACTAGTTATAACTCTGTGGCGCAGTCATGCGGTATAGTTCTGTCAGGACAATAAGAATACTTTAGGACTGTTTCGAGTGCAATTTGGATAAGGTTTTTCAAATCTCATTAAGATAACACAAGTCCTAAGGACGAGACATTATTAATCACTAGTGCTTGTGTTATCCATGCACGGTTAGGGTTATCCATATAGAATATACACGAGCTTCTGCGAACCGTTCTCGTTAAGCTGCTTTGTTTTGTCATTTTATACAACTTTCTCAATTTTCCACAAAATTAAAGGCCCCGTGCATTTTAATTTTGTCCAAAACCCAACTTTCAGTTTAGGACGTGCATGAATGAGTCTATAGCATATATTTTCCAGTCACTTCCATAAATGAAAGAAAGAATATATAAGAAAGAATAGCAACAATAGAAAACTGCAACTAAAGTAAAACAAAACCTGGTGCAGACAATGTATATATACTTAATTTTTACATTATGTATGATAAATTATCTACGTCCGCGTCATTTAGATATGTATACAACTCAACAAATTTGAAAATCATGAGGCAATCATTTCTTTATTTCTATCTACGTATAACATATAATCATGTGTATAAAATTTGGTCATTTGAACATTTTACCATAAAAAGTATAATACTAACGTTAACATTTGCCAATAATAATCTATATGTTCACACTACGAATCTCTAACATTAATATAGTTTCAAAAATCAATCCATTAAGTTGCCGTTGAACCGTTAATTTATTTGTTCTTCATTGGTTGTTCTGCCTAAAATTGAACAATAAATTCAAATTTGCTGCATTAGTAAGTATCAAAGGGAAATACGCAATAAAGGAAAATAGCAATAAAATTACATTTGCTGTCTATGACTTATTTTCAACGTACATGCATTCAATATCATCCATTCCTGTTTATATGGACATGATATTTCAACTAATTTGTTCAGTTGCTCGTTCAAACATTACTTAATTATCGAATATCGTGATAATTTCTAGACGATAATCACGATATGATCTTTAAGTATCGCCCAACTCTAGTTCGTGACTTCGTGTTGTCTGTGCCTGCTGAGTTTTTAGCGCGTGTTTCGTGTGGTGAATATCTCAATTCATATTCACCGGATGTGACGCACGCTGAAAGTGCTGACACTGATTGTTACTGATGACCCTGGCGGTTCACGGAAAATTTCGACGCCGCTTCACGCTAGTGATCTAGGAAATATTTGATTCGTGATGGTGACAAAAACGTTTCGTTCGACTTCACCAAAATAGGTGGCTTGCCTTTTATCACATCAAGAATCTAAAATTCAAAACCAACTTCCCAACAGCTTGTTTATACATTTTGAAATATTTTTTCAGAAAGATTGTCTGGATTACTATAGGCGTCTTCTTTTAGATATGCAGAATACATAAACTAAAACATCAGGTTAAATATTAACCGAGGGTTAGTGCGAATCCAGTTTTGAACAACAGGCCACTGGAGTGAAATATGAGACAATGCAATTGAACATACAGTAATAAGGATCCTGAATGGTTACATGAAGTGAAACAGGAAATTGAACATGATCGTTGACCGGCTGCTAGTTTCAGCAAAAGGCTGCTAGTTACACCATACGCAATCAGTTTTGAAAACCTGTATATTTCGAATCAATTTCGATCCATCTTCAGCAGATATTTACAAGATATGGCGTTTCGAAATAACATTAGTTTATATCTGCTGTGATGTGTATGATACCGTTAAGCTTGATACTGAGAACCCAGCGGGCAAAATGACGTTTATTCAACGTTGAATCAACCTCTAGGTTAGCCATGCAGGATGATTTAAACCAGACTGTTTTTAGAATGTATACCAACTTAAAATGAACATGTTTTTCACAGGCTTACTTATAAAATCACCAATGTTTATGACTTAGCTTGTTCTCTGAAAAATATTCTTTCGTTGCAGTGGCGTACACTTCATGAAATGTTGGGGAGGGGAGGGGAGTTTCGAATGTCTGCCAAAGGGGTTCCGGTGTCCGTTTAAGGCTCTAAGTTATATGATTCTTTCAGAACAACGGGTCACTTGATTAAATTAATAAAGAGTCCCGTCCCGAGTCGTGCCATAAATTTGACTGACATTAGATAATCAATTAATCATATGCATGTCGATTTGCGTTGTTGTTTTTTTATGTACTGTTATAACTATTAATTCTAATTGTTTAAAATTTTTATGGGTAGAGCTGTAAGGAATCCTACATATAACAAAACAGATTGTGTAAAATACGCATGTTGTGGCATCATTGGCATGCATTGTACAGAATCATATATTGCTTGCTATATTGTTAACTTTAGCTTACGTTTTAATAGTCATATACCTTATACATGCAGGTGTGATTGCATGCTTGCCACTTGATCCTAAACAATGCTTGTCAGCAGGGACCGCGGAACAGGGGAAACATGGCTCCCCCACTTTTTCGGTGGATAATAAAAAAATTACCGGATAAAATCCAGCCTGCCTGCGTGGAATAGCTCCCCCCCCCCCCCTCCCACACACACACTTTTAAACAGGCTCTGCGGTCCCTGTTGTAGGTGAATTGTGATATTTGGTACAAGACTATTTATAGGTCTTTCAACAGTCTGTATCAACTTAAAATGAGCCTATACAATTCGAGTATATGTTTACCTTTGGTATTTGTGTGGCGGGTTTGTTTGGCAAAAAATCTGTGATTTGACCATGTCGCGAACATGTCCCTGCTGATACATCACAGGTATATCCTTGAGGACAACAATGTTCACCATCTGAACAACAAACAGCATGTGGAAAAGGACAACATCCCCATTGACCACTCTTCAATTTACAGCATGTGGTACCATCTGGACATTCAGCTACTCCACCATCGCAAACTACATTCTTCGCCTAAACAATGCAAGAAATTGATTAATATTAAGAAATAATTTGTTCATGGACACAAAAAATGTAGCCTATGAACTACGGATTTTATTATTGTGTGGAAATTAACATTTCTCCTGGGACATTTTGATTGGATTCTAGATAAATGAATAAACTTAAGAACGTCTGGTCTCTCTCCAACTTCATTTGCAAGAGCATGTAAAGAACATTATAAAAGCAAGGATTTTGACCCAAATAGATTGCACGTGCACACTGGGGAACTTATGTGTGTTTGGCAGAACTAATAATTGTAAATTTTAATTTACTCTTTAATGTCTTATGCTTTTTCTCTTCTTTTATTTCTTTATTTCTTTAGGTGGACTAGCTGCGTATTGGATGTTCCTTTCTAGTCCTTCCTTACTACAATATTGGCAACTTTGTCAGTTTGTGTTCTTTTTTCCTTGTAAAGCTTGTTAGGTAGTAGAAATCGATTAAATTAAAAAGGTATAAACTTCACTTTGGGTGGAAAGCGACCAGATTAATGATACTTAGCCTAACTGAGTTTATGAAGGGACAACTGGAGGCCAACTATACTAAGAGGATCAACAACAAAATATACACGCAGTTCTCCTTTTTCGAACACAGCTGTATTGAGCGTATCTGGACCACTGGAAATACTCTGGGATTTATATCTTTTAAATTATATAATAACGTTAAGAATTCAAGTGCTTTCATTGGTGATAAGCCATGATCTATTAGAGGACAGACGCACGGAATTACGCTACACAAAACCTTATCCAATAGCATTCCCTTATTTATACAGATCATGTACGCGTGATATTTGTAAAATTTTGTCTTTTTCAAATTACCAAATATTTGGGTGGATAAAAAGTAAGCTATTTATACCTGTTTAATTCAGGGGGAGGTTCTTTTTTATTATATTAAAACGAATAGATAAGATTTTGCCGTTGTCTGCTCAATTACAAATACAAAGTATGACATCATACTGTAATGTGGGAAGAACAAAAACGTGACACACTCGCCTCGGCGGTTTGTGCCCACTTTATTGTTCTTCCCGCATTACGACGTCATACTGTGTGTCCATAACTGAACAGACAACGACAAAATGTTATTTATTTGTTAAATAGATCTCAATTTACCTTTAAAGCAGGTTTGTTCAGGAAAAGAGTTGTAATTTGACCACGTTGTGTGCACGTCCCTTGCGACACATCACATGTATATCCTTCAGGACAACAATGTTTACCGTCTGAACAACAAACAGCATTTGGGAGAGGACAACATCCATATCCACCACTTGACAACTCACAGCATGTGTCACCAGCAGGACATTGAGATCCATCTGGACAAACTACATTTTTGGCCTTAAAATGGAACACAATATATGATTTGTGATTTGTTGACTTATATTCAAAAGAAAAAAAGGTACGCTAAGCGTATTTATTAAAGGAGTGATTGTTGCATATAGGTTATCGACAGGTGTGTCTTTGACACATGACGTGCCATATACAGAGGTTGGAATCGGGCAAAAACCCGTAACCGGCTGTCATCATGTAGTTGCCATGTTCCGTAGCCCGTACTAGCTCTAACGACAGCCATTAACCCCCTCCCCCCTGAACGTCTGACATTTGTAATATTTTCTGGAGGATGACTGTCTTTCCTTAGCGCACTGGATAGGAATATGGCAGCAGTTGTGCCAACATCAAAGGTGCCGTCAAATAGTCGGGTTTCGATTTGTATATTATGTGCTCTGTGCATCATGTTCGATTTCTCTGGCTGCCCCTCCCCACACCTTTTAAAACAATAGTTGCATGTAAGACAGAGCTCGTATAAAAGCGTGATAAACTGAACGGAAATTTATCACGGAAATTTATATAAATATATATATATATATATATATATATATATATATATATATATATATATATATATATATATATATATATATATATATATATATATATATATATATATATATATATAATATATCTACACTTGGACTTTTCCCAAAATATGTTTATAGAATAGACGTCAATATTTCATTCGGTATGACTTCATATATTATTTATGTCGGAAAAAATTGTTTGTCGGAAAAATGCTGCCCTTGCCCCCCCCCCCCCCCCTCTGCGCATACATTCTGCGAAAGCCTACATTCCAATGGTCGGGATCCGAACATTGCAATATTACTAATATTTTGCACATTCCGAACTTTCTTGAATTTAACCTCTAGTCTGTATTCATTTACAAGCATAGCGAACCAGAAGAGTGTTAGAAATTCAGTATAATATATATCTAATCATATTTTACAACTGTAGCACTGAGTTCAAAATGTAAACAAAGCGTTTGTTTACATTACGAACTTTATTAAACATGGCCTTTAAAACATATAAATATGGTAATCAGCCACAAACTGTAAATATCATTGTACTTCAGGACTGTTATGTAAACTTTCAATAGTATTCACACAAATTTCGCATATCAAACCACATCACTCCATCGAAGGCGCCATGTGAATTCCAAATAACTTACGTATCTTAATGAAATAATGACGTAATCTTATGAGTCGCTGATTGGCTACAACCAACTGTGAACAGCCAACAGCGAATAAGACGATAGAAATATATCTGCGCGAGCGCAGTCATGTTTCGCTCCAGGGGCGGCGGAACATTTTTTATTGGGGGGGGGGGCTAAATTTAAAAAAGTTTACCGTAGTTTTTGACTAAGTGGAAACACAAACCGCAAACGGCATAGCGTATAGTGATTTCTCCTTCAAAAATTGTTCAAAATCTACTAACAGGGCATTTTTTAACTATATAACTGGGGGGGGGGCAAAGCCTCCCAAGCCACCATGGTGCCCCACTCAACTATTTTGACCACCCCCCCCCAGTCAAAGTCCCTTTTCTCTAAAATATAAGCAAAACATGGAATTTAGAAGGAAGGTTTGATATTCTAGTAACTGAAATTTGCTTTGTGAATCTTATATATGTCCCGTCTTTTATCTTTAACGCTAATGATGAATTAATGAGCAATCGAAGCAAATTAACGACCAATTATAAGCCGCAAAAAGATTGAAAAGATCACTATACGATTTGCGTAATCAGCACATAAGCAGTGTTAAGTTTTGTCTGACTGGACATAAAACATAATATTAAGCATTTTAATGATTTAAAAATGTTGACCAAACTAGAAATACAATTGTATTCCACAATCCATACTCTCGCTTTAACACAAAGAGCACAAATACAAGATAAGAGAAGTTCTTATTCAATGTTCTATTCGAAATCGAGGGCTAGAATCAACGATTCCAGCTCTAGACGAAATTTTGATGAAGACAAGAAGAAGAACGAAATCCATTACCATAGCTGGAAAGAGCATCTTAAAATGAGTAAAATTGCAAAGTTTGGCTGCGAATTGTTGTAAAATGAGGAAAATACAGCCCTGTTAAATTCGAAATTTTTGTATATAGGCCTACTGTATTAATTTTGCATTACGCGCGAGAAAAATAACCATTTTTGAACCGAAAGTGGTTATTTTACCACGCGTAGTACAAATATATACAAAATTTGCAAACTTCACAGGGGTATATTTTCTTCATTTTAAAACATTTAGGAACCAATCTTTGCAGTTTTACTCATTCTAAGACGCTCTTTCTAGCTGTGTTGTTGGATTTCGTTCTTCTTGCTTCGATCAAAATAATCGATAACCCATTAGGAAAGTCTCAAACTTCTTCACTTAACTTTTATTTGTCCCATTTCGTAAATAACCACAAAGGCCAATACTCTGACTTTGTACGTAGTATTTACTGTATAGATGAAAGATATATACGCAGGGTGAAAGAAAATCAATTTACATTCACTTGATCACAAAGTAGGATATTTTCTTTTGCATTTTAGCCGGCAAGCAGTAATTTGACGACTTCGTAGTTTGTATAAATGGTCTCGCATTCTGCATTTTTACTTCTGGGGGGGGGGGGGCTAAAGCCCCCCTAATCCCCCTGTTCCGCCGCCACTGTTTCGCTAGCCCGCGTGCAGGCTCAAGGAAAGAATAGTGGGCCTGCAAGCAAGGCCAGGTATTTTGTACTTTCTGCGTTCGCCAACGAACGCGGCATTCTGATTGGCTGTTTGCTGTTGTATTCTATAATTAGATCAAAGATTCATCACAAAGGCCCTCGATAAGCTTAACATTCGAAAATTGATCACTTTTTTCAATTAAAAATGGAACAAGAACAGACTGTTTATTGTTTACTTGAAGGAAGAGATGTTTTTGCCGTTATGCCAATTGGGATTGCTTGTCGTGAAGTGTTGAAATAGCAACATTACGACTGGGGTAAACTATAGTAAACTTTACTTGAGTTTCATTAATTTCAAACAGACTTGATACGTTTATATATGTTCCTCAAGAAAATTATCTTTTGGTTGATGTTGACTGTTCTTGCACTGAAGAAAACAGCGCTTTTCGCGGTGAAGATTTAGAGGCAGATGCATGTAAGCAGTAAGCCTATTCGAAACACTTTGCGATTTACAAGGCTTCGCTGAGAGAGCGAAACAGAAGACGGTATTAAATTGCCGTTTGAAACGAAACGATCTGGACTCTGAACGCTCTCTTCTTTAATTTGTAGAGTTCTTTACCAAATGAAATAACTGAAATAAATTTCGTACTTTCCGCCGCCAACAAGAATTGCACGCACGATCTGATAAGTGAGACAATTTATTTATAACAATGGCGACTCGACAGCGAAGCACACATTATAAAATGCTAATGTGTCGCACGACTTCCCTCACGATTTGAAGTTTGAGACTGGTTTTCTGTTGAAATTCGTCCTAATTTGCCTGTTCCGATTTTAGTTGAAAATGAGCACTTGCAAATGTGGCAATTACTGACTGCGTTGCTTGCTTTTTTGGAGTTAAAACGAAGCCATTTACACATTGTTTATATGTTCTGAATAAGCAGAGAAAACCCCGCAACATTTTAATGCTAGTTTGTATGTTAATATTTGGGTGCTGTCATTGGTTCTTTTTTGACAATTGACGCGCGAATGGGGCGTGTTATGAAAAGGGGCGTTCTACAAAATACCGGGTCTTGCTTGCAGGCCCGCTATCAGTTCCCTTGGGCCTGCACGCGGGCTACTGTTTCGCTCGCTCTGTAATAATTTATTTAAACCAGAGTAGCGAGCGAAACATGAAGGAAAATTAAGTTAACCCAAATAGTGTTATCTCTAGGTTAGCCAGGATGTTTAAAACCAGAGTGTTTTTAAAATGTACCAACTTAAAATGGACATGTTTTTCACTGCTTGCCTAAAGTCGCCAATGCTTATAACTTGTTCTCTAAATAATATTCTTTCGTTTTACATGCCAAAGGAGTTCCGGTATCCGTTTAAGGCTCTTTTCATTCAGATAATAATATAACTCATAACATGTAACAATATAACTCATTATCTATGTCAGTCAACGTCAACAGATACGGTCCTTCACTGCCACGTGTGTATTGTATTTTTGCACAAATAACCAATAGCAATGTTTTAGGTAAGTTACCTATCCGTGACTCGAACAATAGGGTAAACTGGAAATTGCTTTTGGTACATGCATTGTACAGAATCATATATTGCATGCTTGCTATATTGCTAACTTTAGCTTACGTTTTAATTGTGATTATTTAATATGACAATTACGTTATATATAGGTGCATGTGATTGCATGCTTGCCACTAATTGCTCCTAAACGATGCTTGTGAGTTATTACATTTGGTACCAGACTTTTATAGGTCTTTCATGCAATAGTCTGTACCAACTTAAAAGGAACATGTTTCTCACTGGCTTGCTTAAACAAAGTGACCAATATATATTATTCTCCAGATTCAGTTTGTTTCGGCCATTCGCAAAAGCTGTTCATATAGATTGGTGGCGACTGGATAGATGATCTTGAATTTTTCTATTTTTGATGTTATGCACTCAGGTGAAGATATATGTTTGTGATGTTGTTTCTGAGTGTGTCCACATGCACTATGGGCAAGCTGAATATTTCACTATATATCACAGTTTGTTATATAGCTAGCGTGAACACCAAACGTGATTGGCTGATTTGTGGTCACGTGACTTCAGATAAATGCAATGTTTCCCGCCGGGCAACAAGTGAAAAATTGTTGCCCGCCCCGACCGGCCACGTACAAAATAAACAAAATGGAGGCACAACTCAGCGGATAATTAGAAACTACGATTTTCCAAGTTTGTGTTCAAATAAAGAATATAAAAGAGAAGAAAAATACACAACTGGCAACAGGATATGCTGCTGAAACCGTTTAAGTAGGTTCTTTTAATTTTAAACTCGTTTTAACTGTAGAGTTTTTGTCACGAAATACAATTGTTGTATGAATGTTGTTGAAGTTGATTTTTGTTCGTCGCTATATAACAAAACACTTAATGCCTGTTCCCTCGGGAAATAGTTAGTTGTTTTCCCTCGAATCTTAATGTTTCCCTCGACTTCGTCTCGGGAACATTGAGATTCTCGGGAAAACAAAACTAACTATTTCCCTCGGGAGCAGACATTAAGTGTATATTATTTCGAGATTTTGTCGGTTTTGAGATGAACGCATAACAAAGGGCATACAACTCCAACCACCTACCATGCACTTATTACCCACCTGAATCGCGGGTTTCTTCTTGAATAACTTAGTTATATGAGATCCTTTATGGCATTGTCCAGATGTACAGGTGTAACCATGTGGGCAACAATGAACACCATCTGAACAACAAACAGCACTTGGAAAAGGACAACATCCCCATTGACCACTCGCCAATCTACAGCATGTGTTGCCATCTGGGCAGTAGGTTGTTGCATTACATTGTACAACCTTTGCCTAAAATAATGCAAGTCATTGAATAATAATATCAGATAGCTTAAGGTTACAGGATACCCTAGACATGCCTTTCGGGAGATCCGCTGTAACTCGATCAATTTTAATCCAAATTCCATCAAATTTTCACCAAATGTAGTTAGATAAATGCAGTATAAGATGTTCTTATCATATGTACGAAAGAATAAATACTTATTCAGATATTTGCCGAAGTCTAAAATCGCGGTACTTCCGCGCCGTGAAGTTTGTTAGACGCCGGTTTTACTCAAATCCTATAAAAATATCATTTTTACTCTTCTCAAAGGTTGTTCTAAAAAACGGTGTTCGCGTTTTGTAGTTGCTTTAGGGGTTCATGAGTTACGGCATATTCATTCCAGACCTATGCTATATTGCAACTAATTGACAACAAAAAGCTTGTAACTTGCTTATTATTTGAATAAAAAGCTCGCGCGCACACCGTTTTGTAGCCGAAATATGTACCTATGCTGTGTGGAATTTTGACAAAAATCGGTTGAAACGCACGCTTAACAAACTTTATTTAGTGCATATATTCGACTCAAAACTCAAGTGCCTCAAAAAGCGCTTTGAAAATTTCGCGGGTTTTCTTTCAGTCTAATCAGGTACTCCGCCTGCTGTGACGTACTGTCATTATAAAGTTAATCCGATGACAGATAACGTTTGCGGCAGGACCACAATATATAATCAAGTCATGCCTAAACGAAAAGAAAAAGCTGAGGCTTAAAATCGCAGAATCTTAAGCGCAGAATCTCAAAAGCGACAAAAATGCAGATGATGGCGATGTGGACCACAAAGAAAAACTAATGGCAACGATGAAAGATAAAGCCTTAAAGGGTAAGGAAACTTAGTTTATCGCATTTTGATCTGACGATATTTTGCTAGTTGACGTTATAGAAAGCCATGCATTTGTTCTCTCTCTTCAGTTACGATGGAACAAACTTTATCAAGAATATTGAGGCTGGTGTTGAAGATCGGCTAAAGAAGCGTGGTAAACCTCCTAGAATTATACGGTAATTTTTTTCATTGTGGATGGGCACACGCGTTATATACATAATTGCACCTGGTTCACTGGATCAGTTTTGCACAATTTGCGTTTTTAGTACGCCGCGCATCGTAATGTTTTTGGAAATGAAAGGCTTTATTGTAAAATGTCATTACATTTTCGTTCATTTCTAGAAACAGGGAATCGGTCCCAAGGATGCGGCTTATTGATATCCTGTCGAAGTACTAAATTTCCTGAGCGATATCGCGGTGATGTAAAAGGAGAGATAAGAGAAGTGAGTTTGATATCTGTACGCAAAGCCAAAGGCCACTATAAAAGCCGCGCAGCTAATTCTAATAAAGCTTTTCCAGTTAGTCATGCACTTGTGGCTAAATTAGTAAATATGGCAAAAATGATAAGTCGCCAAATCAATGTTTTTATTCTGCTTCTAAGATGCTTACAATATTGAGCTGGACATCTTTTGTGAAGCTTTGAAGATCCCGAAGTTGTGTGTAGACTATTATAGTGTTAGTCAAATATGACTATAATAATTAAGTTTAAAAATATATGTTTTAAAAGGCATTGTTATATTATGATAAATATACTCATGTAAATATACTTACATATTATATTCTATAATTATGCTAGTAAATATTAGGCAAACTGTTCTAAATTATGGCCTTTATGGGTATTGATTCATCTCTACAGAATGGTTTTAGGGTCACTTTCTGCCAGTGATTTCTTTCTCTCCTCTGTGAACAAATTGTCGGTCTTGGGTTTGAGTTTCTTCCGACGGCCGCAAAAAGGGGTTTTATTTTTTTGCCAGAATCAGCTTTTATTCGCGGCATTTTTTCCAGCAAAGATTTCAGTGCAAGAGAAATGTGCGTCTACAACCGCATGTTGTGGTAACGGAATACGAGATGACATATACACTAATTGAATTGCACAAGGTGTCGATTTTCTATCAAACACATTTCCCGCCAAACATATAGACTTCAATTGCGTTTTACTAAATAACCTGTTTAATTTTAAAGATACTGATTTACATTTTTGTCCAGACGACAGGTATGCTCAAAAGCAACAAGAACATGTAAAGAAAAAAAAATTCAAAATTTTTACGTTCTAGGGTATCCTGTAACCTTAAGTTTAATTAAAAAGCAAAATGCTCTGCGGACATTAGCCTCCTACGCAGACATCTCACCCGACGAATCGGGTGGTGGGAAAAAGTTTGGTGAGATGCCTGCCATAAATCGACACAAAAATTTGCACTGCGCATACCGGCTCGCGCATGCAAATTTCGACAAACTCAAACTTAGGGGGAGTAGGAAGGGCTTACGGCAAGGAGTGAAGAAAATTTTGTTTTCAACACGATGGCTTAGAAGACGAGTAAAACTGTAAAATTAACGAATAATCTTGCTCTTCAACATTGCAAATACAAAGGGAACTTTGACTAAGGAGCTGAGAACGTTATCGAGAGCCGACGCAGCGATTTACTGGGATTGTTTAGAGATATTAACGAGTGACTTTGCAGAGCAGTGAATTCACAATTATGTCGTCGATTCATGTCAAGACATTTGTCAAGAGAAGGTTTCAATTGAAAGTTTATCGTTGATATATACAAATTTCTATTCAAATTGTTGACGACATTTTATATCATAATAAGCTGAAAGTGCAGTGATTTAGTCGAAATTGTAACACGAAAAGGAACGATCGAAAATTGTCAATATATAAATGTGGTAACCGGTCGTTTCGCCAACGAGTCGTTTCGCCAACTGTTAGTTCGCCAACGTCACAGAGTGCCAACGTCTCGGGTCGATTCGCCAACGTTTCCTCACGTTCTTATGTCAGTTCGCCAACGCAACGTTTAATCATGGATTGTAAAATAAACAATCCATGGTTTACAATTATTTTACAATCCATGGTCATTTAATAGTTCACGTCTTTATAATGTGAAACCATGAAACACAAACAATGTTTGTAGAAAATATGTTGGAACGTTGGCGATCAAAAGCGTCACCAGCCGTGTCTAACCTTGGTTATTGTTCTATGCTCTATTGTGGAATTTTGTTAGTGCAGAGTATAGTTAATCTTCGTATTGTTGTTTGAAAACTCTTCAGTTGTGTTACTTGAATGGTATATCATATGCATAAAAACTTTCACATTTCGTGAGTTTAAGGCCCTACGAAAAATTACTTGTTTAGCGTCCGCTGATTAAACCTGTTTTACACCGTCTAAAAATAAATATCGGGAGAATTTGCTATTTCGGTTATTCTCTACAAACATTAATAGATTTATATATCCATGTATGAACTATGTAACGTTGGCGAACTGACATAAGAACGTGAGGAAACGTTGGCGAATCGACCCGAGACGTTGGCGAACTGACAGTTGGCGAAACGACTCGTTGGCGAAACGACCGCAATTCCTTCATATTATGAACTAAGCCCATCTTGGTCGTACTATGGTAACCGGTCGTTTCGCCAACTGTTAGTTCGCCAACGTCTCGGGTCGATTCGCCAACGTTTCCTCACGTTCTTATGTCAGTTCGCCAACGCAACGTTTAATCATGGATTGTAAAATAAACAATCCATGGTCATTTAATAGTTCACGTCTTTATAATGTGAAACCATGAAACACAAACAATGTTTGTAGAAAATATGTTGGAACGTTGGCGATCAAAAGCGTCACCAGCCGTGTCTAACCTTGGTTATTGTTCTATGCTCTA